ACTTTCGCAATCCCATAACGGACTCGCATGGATTTGAGCTACTAGCGAACGTTTTTCAGCCGTTGCTGTCCAGATATCTTGCCTTTTAATATTCGCAAGTCTATTGGAAATCAGCCGTTCTATCTCACAGGTTCCCCCATCTCCCACCATTTCCGGACAGACGTCTCCCAACCCTGTGCGGTCAAGTACCCGTTTAAGTCTACGTAAGGTGGTCTACGTAAGGTTACCTTTCCTCCGGACATGTCCTATTTTTGAAATAAGAAAAACTGTCCTGGTCGACTTAACAAGAAAGAATGAACCCTCCTCTTTTTTATTCGAAAGGGGAAACTACTTTTAAATGCAACCTAGACGTGCGATATACGAAGTGTCGCCAGCTGGTATAATATATTGCGCAACTTATTGCATGGCAGTGCTGGTTATAGTTTCATTTCTCCGTGAGTTAATACTGTTCTGCTGGCCTTGTGAAGTTTATACCAGTAGTTAATATCATCCATATTTTAGTCTCCAAGTGTTGTGTGCCATTCTGAACTACAAATTGTCGAATTTCATTTTGCAATCCCTACTGACAATGCTACAATCCCTACAGACCGCATTTCCTCTCTCATAAAAGGGCAGTGATCCAAGACAGAAGCAGGTTTAACATATTTAAAGTATATTCTGTGTTCAATTCAACATTAAGCATCTAACCTGCATGAGTTTCTATTCTTTCAAGAAAAGGAGAATATGAGATTTAAAGCATATTTGGAAGTGAATTTTACTATATTCTTTCAAGAAATTTAAAGAAAAAATTGAAGTCGTTTTTGAAAAAAATTGAAAATGTTCCAAGGGCTTCATGTAAAGACCCCCAAAAATTAATGAATGTTATTCGAAACAGAGTTACAAGTGAGGCCAGATCGACCGAGAATGATTCAGTTTAGAAAACATCCTACGAACAGAGTATGGGCTAGCGTTTTTCACAAAAACGACAGACACACGGAAGTACAGAGAGACAGACAGACGGTGGTTTTGAAAAACAAACAAACACATTTATCTCTCTAGGGCTGAATGTTCGTGACATATGACCACATAACGTGTTAGAGGGAGCAATTTATTACATACTAGGACAGGGTTTATTCACTTTTTCTGTATAAGGCTCCTACAATACGAGTTTTAATGTCGACAAATCGCCATTTTTTGCCGCAGCATTACATAACTTTCTCTGTACTAAGTATATTTCTTCGTATATACGTACGTAACGAGAAAATGAAAATGTACTGTCCGCGATGTCGATTGCGACTGATGAATCGTCTCAAAGTAACACACAATTTAAAGCCTGGTCTACGAAGTGCAAAATGCTTGCAAGTCCAACTACTTGGCTTTAACTGTGAAAGGAGATTTAGAATACTTTTACATAGAATTGCATGTGTGTGTGTGAAATACGATATATTTCTCCTGCCTTAGGGACAAAGATTCCACCACTTTGGCAATGTAATAAGTAATAATATCTAGGGGTTCCACGGGGTCTCCTGAGTGTGAGTGAACGAGTTAAATACGTTACATTTCATACATCATCGATTGGATCAGGCAAAAGCTTTGCAAACACTGTCTCCCCTGCCGAAACCCGTGTAGTGGTGAACTGTACATCAGCTGTGCACTACATTTTTTTTCACTTGGTGCCTTGCTCATTTCAAGCACACGTTAATTTCGTTATGAAAATAACTTGTACTTCATGTGTGAGATACAATATGTGTTAGAGACTCGCAACGAGATCTAGGAACCAAGCATCGAGATCCAGGGGCACATATATTCTTTAAAGTCACAATATTGAGTGTTGTAATAAGAAGGAAATTTTACATCTTGTTGAATTAATGCTGTATTAATGAGATATCAGGACGCAAACATGGCTTGTTTGGTAGCAATGAGTTCGCGCACATTCACGCTGAAAAATTATATCTTGACTATTGGATAATACTTTTTCTTCAAATTGATTTATTATGTGTGCCTTACTGATTTCTCCCATTAAATAGAAACTACATGCAACATTGATATTCATTAAAATAAAACTATTTTCAAACAAAGTGATTGTCTTCGGCAAATGATGAAATTACGCTAAATTTCTAATAGCGTAAAAAGTAATCATGTTATTTTTAGGTAAAAACTTTACGGAAATATTAACACAAAATCTTGCTAATTGTGAAATCTTCTTAATACTGAATCATTAGTGAGAGAAAGGATGAATGTAGTTGATAACAAAACTGTAAATTGGGCAAAACGCCAATTGAACAACCCGTCTAGTAATTAAAACAACCAGTTGTGTCGATAAATTGTGCAGACTAAAGAAAAAATAAATCAATTTTGATAAAAGTAAACAGTTGACGCAATGTGACTTTGTGAACATTTATTGCCTACTTAAATTTCAGGGCCTTTCGCGACCAAACATTCATGTTTACTTACCCTTCACCAAGTGCGGCAGCGCGGCACGGCCAGCCTCCAGCGCGCACTGCTCCAGGTTGGGGTCCTTGAGTGAGCATTTGTGGATGTAGGGAGCTGCAACACGCGCACCTCACAATGGGCTACAGAGCTGCTCAGCGTCTCCAAGCGCCGCTGTCTCCGCCGCCGCCGCCGCCGCCACCGTGTCGCAAGGAGTCGGTGACGGCGACAGACTGTGAGGCTGCGACTGCCACTCAGACGACGACGTCGACGGTGGCGGCAGCGGAGGCGACGGAGAAGGCGATGGTCACTCAAACAGCTAATTAGTCGAAGGCGTCGACTGAGATAGACCGAGTCTGAGACGGCGGCGTCGACGGTGATGGCGACTGAGATTGAGACTAAAACAGAGATTGGGACTCAGACGGCGACGGTGACGGCGACGATGGCTGCGACGGCGAAGGCGACGACGAAGGCGACGACGACGGCGACGGCAGACTTAGAGCCGGTTTCACCAACAGCCGAGTAAAGTTGAGAGTAGTTTCCCGAGAGTAACCTTTTACTCTAAGATAGTAACTCTCGAGTAGAATATAAGCGTTTCACCATGCTTCAAGAGGGTTATTTTACTCTAGAGTACATACTCTCCGATTTACTCCGCGAATCAGCTGAACACGCAATATTTGAGAGTGATTCAAGAGGCTGTGAGCGAGAATGACGCTGGAACCAATGCGGACCAACGAGAACCTTTGATTAATTCCTTTTATTCTATCATTCATTTTAATTTCGGAGTTCTTGACGTTATAATCTTGTGTGGTGTTATGGTGATTTGAGTTAGCATAGTTTATTTCTTAGTTTCTGTATCTTTATTTCTTAATAAATATTAATTCATCTTCTCTGGAAATGAGTTACTATTTTGTTAACAATACAGAAAAATCAAATTTGCAGTTCGTTTACCCATGGCGGTGCAATACAATTTTCTATAACTCGAGAACGAAAATGTTTAGTTTTTCAAATTTTGCTGATCTCCTGTTTTTCTAAATTATATTATTATTATTATTATTACTATTTGTTGATTGTTTTATTTTTGAACGTTTATTCACTTTTCAACTATTTGTAGTTAAAATGTTGGAAAATGATTCTGGAACTCAAGAAAACGTACGCAAATGATCTCCCCCATTCGTCACATAAAGTTTTTAATGAATAAATAAATATTTCTTAGTTCTTGTAGTCCCTATAGTTATTCTTTTTTCCTTTTGTTAACATATTCGGTACGTACTACTTTTATTTCGTATCCACATGGGAGAACAAGAAATTTACAAGTTCTCTACAGTGTACAATGAACATGATTTGGTCAAACACAATCTCATGACAAAATCTCGATTTTCATAAATAAAACCAATCCATTCTCTGCGCACCCTTTGTCTTCGCACTAGTGGATAATATTCC